GCTGAAGCACGACCTGAAGTCAGGCCTCATCACCTCCTTCGCTGTGGACATCCACCAGTGCTGGCTCTGCATTGGTGAGTCTGCCCCCCGCCCCCCCCCCCCCGCCCTTCACCAGTGACTGCTTCCCATCTTTCTTCTTCCTTTTTTTGGTCATGGGGTTTGAACTCTGGGCCTGGCCGCTGTCTCTCAGCTCTTCAGCTCAAGGCTGGCGCTCTACCACTTGAACCATAGCCCCCACTTCCCCTTTTCTGGTGGTTCGTTGAAGATCAGAGTCTCACAGACGTTCCTGCCAGGGCTGGCTTTGAACCCTGATCCTCAGATCTCAGCCTCCTGAGTAGCTAGGATGACAGGCGGGAGCCACCCGTCACCCATCTTTTTTCTTATCTCTTGCATCTTCCTATTCATTAACCATCACCTAAATGGGATTGTGGGAGTGAGCTACTGAGCCTGGCCCCTTTTCAGGATTTAAGTATCTCCCCCACCCCCCAGCACACACCCCATTGTGCGTTGGGCGCACCCCTGGGAAAGCTCCCAGCAGTCATCCTTTCCCCTCACGTTTGAATTGCTGGAATTTAGGCTTTTGTCATTCTGAATGAGTGTCTACACAGCGTGTTTGGGCTGCAGAAGGAGGGGTGTCTGGTGGGTGCCTTTGGCCGTTCATGACAGTGTCACTCACGAATGAATTCATTTCGAGTTTATCTCCGTGAGACTGGCCTGTGAGGACATGCCGCTGAGCGCTTAGCAAGCAGGTGCTGTGTGGGTGCGCGGAGAGTGTCTAGCGAGCGCGAAGTCCAGGTGCTGCTTCCCACGCATGCGCTCGCGGCCCGTGGGCTCTGCTCCCGGGCCATCCCGTCTGCTCTCCTCGCAGGCACCAGCAGCGGCGCCATGGCCTGCTGGGACATGAGGTTCCAGCTGCCCATCTCCAGTCACTGCCACCCTTCCAGGGCGCGGATCCGCCGCCTCTCCATGCACCCGCTCTACCAGTCCTGGGTGATCGCAGGTGAGCGCCGCAGCCCCCGCTCCCAGGTGGAGGCTGGGCCTGGCAGGTGCACCCTGCCCTTCCACCACCAGCCACCACCTGCACTCTGTTCCTTCCTACACACCCACTGGCTCTCATTTTCTTTGTCAGTGTGGGGCTTGAACTCAGGGCCTGGGCGCTGTCCCTGGCCGCTTTGTGCTCAAGGTGAGCGCTCTACCACTTGAGCCACAGCACCACTGCCAGTTTTTTAGTGGTTTATTGGAGATAAGAGCCTTTTCCTGCCCGGGCTGGCTTTGAACTGTGCACAAGCCAGGGCAGGGGCAAGAGTGACCGTGCCACCCCTCTGTCTCCCCCAGCTGTGCAGGGCAACAATGAAGTGTCCATGTGGGACATGGAGACCGGGGACCGCAGGTTCACACTCTGGGCCAGCAGCGCACCGCCGCTCTCCGAGTTACAGGTACCCTTGCGCATGCAGTCTAGTCTGCACTGGGTTTCCAAGTTGGGTTTAAGTTTGGGTTGCTCACGCTGTCAGCGTGGCGGCTGCCACGTAGGTACGTCCAGGTGTGTGGAATGTGCTGATCACTGTGATCTCCTTGAACAAGGTGTAGGCGCTGTCCCTGCACTTTTGAGCTCAAAGCTAGCGCTCTACCACTTGAGCCACATTTCTACTTCGGGTTTTCTGGTCGTTAATCAGTGATAAGTCTCACAGACTTTCCTGTCCTGGCTGGCTTCAATCTGGGATCCTCAAATCTCAGCCCTGGCCTGTGACTGAGGCGGTGCCTGGGCTGAGTTGAGGTTCACAAGTGCAAAGCGGCCCTCGCTCAGGCACCGGGACCTGACCCGGGATTGCCGGGCTGGACGCGGACGGGGCGAAGGCAGCACGGTGCTAACAAAAGACCTTAGAGCTGGCGCCTGCGCAGCGCCCACGGTGTAGTCGGTAGGACGTCACCTGACACGTGCACCAGGCTTGATCTCACCAGTCCCATCTGAGAGGGACTACGTCATCGGAGAAAGTGGGTGATCTGCAACTTCCAAACTGGGTTTTTTTGGTCAGTCATGGGACTAGAACTCTCGGCCCGAGTGCTGTCCCTCAGCTCAAGGAGGGTGCGCTACCACTTGAGCCACAGCGCCACTTGTGGTTTTTTGGTCGTTCATTGGAGATGAGCCAGCCTGGGCTGGCTTTGAACCGTGATGCTCAGCTCTTCGTCTGTGTCCTTCCAGCCATCCCCTCACAGTGTGCACGGCCTGTACTGCAGCCCCGCGGACGGCAACCCCATCCTGCTCACCGCTGGCTCGGACATGAAGATCAGGTACGGCATGTGCACACCCCCCCTCCCCCACTATGCTTATTTAAATCAAGGAATAACGGTTATGCTGTTGACACTAGAAGATGGTTTGCGCACACATAGTGCCTTCAGCGCAAGGCAGTGGCGGTCCGGCCTCCCGTTACCTTGCACCGACGGTGACCTCCCGTTCGCTCCCTAGGTTTTGGGACCTGGCTTATCCGGAAAGGTCCTATGTGGTGGCCGGAATCACGGGCTGCTCCTCCGCCTCCTACTACCGGAAGATCATAGAAGGCACTGAGGTGGTCCAGGTAGGGGCTCTGGAATCTTCTCCCAGTTTTGGGTGACATGAGTATTTGAACAGTAAAGAACCAAAAGCAGCCAGGTGCCGGTGGCTCACGCCTGTCATCCTAGCTACTCAGGAGGCTGAGATCTGAGGATCACAGTTCAAAGCCAAAAACTGGAAGTAGCGCTGTGGCTCAAGTGGTAGAACGCTGGCCTTGAGCTGAAGAGCTGAGGGACAGCGCCCAGGCCCAGAGTTCAAGCCCCCACGACCGACAAAGAAACGGTAAGAAAGCACTTTTATAAATGAGAATGGTAGACACAGTAAGGTCAAGAAGTGTCTCCTATTTAGGAGACAGAAAACCACAATTCAGACCTGGATGTTGGCACGTTTAAAGCTCGGGCTCTGAGACACAGGTTTCAGTAGTGTGTCCTGGAGGTGCACCTCCATGCCGGGAGCTTTGGAATTGGCAGAAGGTCCCAGGTCCTTCCCCAGTGTGGGCGGTGCAGGCCCACCGTGTCGCTCTAGCTGCGTTTCTTATTGGGGACACACGGCTGCACCACCAATGCTGGATGTCAGGTAGGCTATGGCTTAAGCGTTCACTTCCGGCTCTCTCCCTGACTTCCCCTCACCCCACAGGAAATTCAAAACAAGCCGAAGGCGGGACCCAGCGACGACACCCCTCGCCGGGGCCCCGAGTCGCTCCCCGTGGGCCATCACGACATCATCACGGACGTGGCCACCTTCCAGACCACCCAGGGCTTCATCGTCACCGCCTCCCGGGACGGCATCGTGAAGGTGTGGAAGTAGAAGCCCGCGGACCCACCGGTAATGCTCACACGCACCCGCTCACACGCTGAAAGTCATGTCTAGTGTACGGTTTACGCCAATCTCTTACGAGTCAGACAGACACCACCGTGGGACTTTCTCCTGTATTGCACAGGAGGCAAATTTGTATAGAAAAATGGTTGTAAGCTATTGTAAACAGGTTTTTGCTATTAAAAATGCTCTTCCGAAAGGACAGACACAGCTCGCAGGTACGATGCTTTGGATTGTCATGAGAGCATCTCTGGCATTGCGGGCAGGGGCTGGGAAGGTGGCTCGGTGGTAGAGTGCTTGCCTTGCATGCATGAGGGTCTGGGTTCTATTCCTCGTCACCATATAAGCAGACAAAGCCAGAAGTGGTGCTTTGGCTCAAGTGGTAGAGGGCTTGCCTTGAGCTGAGGCCCAGAGTTCAGGCCCCACGACCAACAAAACACCACCTGCCATTTTTTAAGTGGCGCACAGAACAGTGATAGAATGTAACCCAGTACTCTTTCTCCTCTTCCCTTCCTATTTTTCTTCTCTCTTTTGTCCCTCTCTCCAGTTCTTCCTTGTACTGGGGCTTGATCTCAGGGTCAGGACACTCTCCCTTAGCTTTTTTCATTCAAGGCTGATGCTCTTACCACTTAAGTCACACACAGATTCACTTCTGGGTTTCTTAGAGTTTCCTGCCCAGGTTTGTTTTAAACTTTGATCCTCGAATCTCAGTCTCCTGAGCTAAGCCACAGGCACCTAGCTTTGTTTTTCTTTCCTTTTTTTGTTGGTTGTGGGGCTTGAACTTTGGGCCTGGGCGCTGTCCCTGCACTCTTCAGCTCAAGGCTAGCGCTCTACCCCTTGGGCCACAGCACCACTTCTGGTGTTTCATTGTAGATAACAGTCTCATGGAATTTCCTGCCCAGGCTGGCTTTGAACCTCCATCCTCAGATCTCAGCCTCCTGAGTAGCTAGGATGACAGGTGTGAGCCACTGAGGCCTGGCCTCATCTTTTTTTTGGGTCCGGTTGTGGGGCCTGAACACTGGGCCTAGGCACCGTCCCTCAGCAATTCAGCTCAAGGCTAGAGCCACAGCACCACTTCCAGCTTTTTTTCTTATGTGGTGCTGAGGAATCGAACCCAGGGCCTCATGCATGCAAGACAAGCGCTCTACCACTGAGCCACCTTCCCAGCCCATCCTTTTCAAGGGAAAAAAGAAGTGTTCTCTCCCTGGGCGTGAGATGAACAGGTAATGTTCGTTTGGTGTACTTTACTTGCCAACAACAACAGAACAACTGTTACCAATTAATTCCAATAATAATCAGGAGGAAGTTGTTTAATCCAAAGTTAAAAAACAAAAGTCCCTGTTATTAAAATGCTTCTGAAATACTACAGCTCACCAGTTTCCTGCACTTGACACACTGCTGGCCCCGCAGCCCGTGTCCCCGCCAGCTCTGCACTGCTTCCTGAGTTGGGCGTTCCACTCCGTGTAGTATGGAGACAGAGTGGCTTGAACCAGCACGGCAGAGGGGCGGGAAGGCAGCTCGGGCATCGTGGAGAGGAGGTAGAGTGCTCGCCTCGCATGCATGAGGCCCTGGGTTCGATTCCTCAGCACAGAAGAAGCCAGAAGTGGCGCTGTGGCTCGAGTGTGGTAGAGCTAGCCTGAGCTGAAGAGCCGAGGGACAGCGCCCAGGCCTGGCAAAAAAAAAAAAAAGGCCTTACCGGCCATTCAAGGCCATAGCAGGGAAGAAGCCATGCCTTCTCGCGCACCAGGCATGCGTGGAGGGAGGGTGGGCGCCCCTCCACGGCTCAGCAGGCTACCAGAGACAAAGCGTCCACCCACAGCATGGCGTGTGCCGCACAAAGCACACGAGCGAGAAGCGACACTGCACCCAGCAGAGGAAGCTAGAGCACAAAAGGGTTTAACCCCCCCCCCCCCAGCACTGGAAACAGTTCGCCTTGGCCCACGGTCACGTGTCCACACCCCACCTGTCACCAGCCCCGCCTCACCATCGCCCACGGAGATCAGCGGTGCGTAGCCTGTCCAGCTCAGAGCCTCGGGATGCACACAGACGGCCTGGATTTCTCCTCAGGGGATCCACAGCGCACCTCCACGTCCCTGTCCCTGCCAGCCGCGCCCCGCCCTCGGTCGGCCAAGGCCTGGGCCTGACGAGGCTTCTCTCGGTGCTGCGGCGCCCTTCGCACCTTCCCAACGGCGCGGGGTGTGCTTCCCGCCAGGCTCCGACGAGCCGCAGCCGTCCACGCAGAGTTCCAGCCTCGCAAGAGCCTGGCCTTCGCAGACACGGCCACGGAGTGTGGAACGGGGACCGAGCTGTGCCACAAAAAAAAGCCACAGTGCAGCACATGAATAACCCTCCCTGCCCCCAGCACAGCCTGCACACACACCAGAAGCAGACAAGCCACTCTGGAAGGGCAGCATGGCTCAAACGGTAGCGTGCCAGCCTTGACCAAAAAAGGCCCTGAGGTCAAGCCCCAGGACCAGCACATACAAATCATAATTTGTCCAGGTGTCAGTGGCTCACACCTGTGTCATCCTAGCTACTCAGGAGGCTGACCTCTGAGGATCGCGGTTCAAAGCCAGCCCAGGCAGGAAAGTCCATGAGACTCATCTCCAATGAACCACCAGAAAACTGGAAGTGGTGCTGTGTCTCAAGTGGTAGAGCGCTTGCCTTGAGCTGAAGAGCTAAGGGACAGCACCCAGGCCCTGAGTTCAAGACCTACAACTAACCAAAAAAATAACCAGGTTGATCTAGGCCAAACCTCTACATAGAGAATTTTAATGCCAAGTCATTTTTAACTGTTGAAATAAAACGCCCAGTTGAGACACCCCATTGGCAATGAGCAAAGCTCCCGACCTGAATTTGGTTTCTAAAGACCATTTCCCACAGGGTTGGTTTCTTCCCCAGAAACGCTGAGCTCTAGGCTGCAGCCTAGGCTGCTGGCCTCCAATGCCTGATTATCTGGGAAGAAGCACTATTCGCATACATTGCTTTAAAGGTCACAAACGTGCAGATCATTTCACAAGTGCTGAATGGAGGTGGAGAGATGTGCAGGTGTGCATTGCCGTTTTTAACCATACCTCCAACCCTGTTTTCGGTCATGGGGCTTGAACTCTGGGCCTGGGCACTGTCCCTGAGCTTTTTCACTCAAGACTAGCACTCTACAACTTAGAGCCACAGCGCCACTTCCGGTTTTCTGGTGGTTCATTGGAGAAAAGTCTCAGTCTTTCCTGCCCAGGCTGGCTTTGAACCACGATTCTCAGATCTGTCTCCTGAGTAGCTGACACCAGGGCACCAGGGCCCCGTTTATCTAACCACAAGTTCGTAACTATTTTAAATCCCACATATTTTCTATTAAAGCACATTCCTAAGTAATGGGACACCAAAAAAGTAATGAAGAATTTAAGATTACTTGGAGGTGTATAAGAAACCAGAACACTTTCTGTCAAACAGTTACAGTGGTGCATGCCTGTAATCTCACCTGGTTACTTTTGTTTTAAATCGTCTTGTTTCCTCCAATTAGAGGTCAGTGTGTTGCAACAGACTTCTGTCTGAATAAGATGGAGGAGGGAGAGGAAGGAAAGGCAAAGGAAGAGGAGGGACGGACAGGAAGGGGGAGCGTAGCTCCGTGCGTGGCGCTTTACCCAGCACACTACCTGCGAGACTGGCGTGGGTACTGTGTAGACTCGCTGGAGCCCAGCCTGCTGCACTTGACTCGGAGGCTCACCGGAGGGTATTTGTTGATGGCACCTAGGGAGAGAGGAGCCCGGGGAATTCTGAGCATGACCAGGGTACCACCGCTGTGCTGGTTCTGAGCACAGCCCTGCACATGCGCACACACAGCAGCAACCCATCTGCCAGCTTGAACTCAGGGCCTGCACACTGCCGCTGAGCTGGCTGGTGCTCTGCCACCTGAACCACTATAGCTCCACTTTGGCTTTTTGTGTAGTTCGTTCGAGATAAGAGTCGCCAGCTGCCGGAGGCTTCACGCCTGTCATCGTAGCTACTCAAGAGGCTGAGAACTGAGGCTCACAGTTCAAAGCCAGCCTGGGCAGGAAAGTCCATGTGAGACTCTTATCTCCAGTAAACCACTCAGAAAGCTGGAAGTGGCGCCGTAGCTCAAGTAGTAAAGAGCTGAAGAGCTGAGGGACAGCGCCCAGGCCCAGAGTTCAAGCCCCACGACCCACAAAAAAAAAAAAAAGTGGACTTCCTTATTCTAAACCTGATCCTCAGATCTCAGCCTCCTAAGGAGCTAGGATTAATGGGTGAGCCACCTGATCCCAGCTGGCTGAGAGTTTTGTAAGGCTGTATCGTTCACGGGTAGATGAAGTGTCCCCTAGCATTTCACCAAGTTCTACCTTCTGAACTCCATTAAAGCCAAGCCAAAATGGCTTCACTTTTCTCTGGCCTCCTCCCTTGGCACGTCATCCAATAGCCTCCATCAGAGGGCGGCCAGCTAACATGAACATGGCCAGGGTCCCACTGAGGAGCTAGAAGCGCATCCCCGGATGATTGCTCCACGCTGACAGATGTGGGAACAGCTGGCTGTTATGCCTGCCTCTCCATAGGAACCAGAGGCATAAAAAAGACGGGCCAGGAAATTCAGCGCGAAGGAATCATGTTTCACCCCATTAGGCCGGGTTTTTCCTCCCTGACCCTGAAATGCCCTTGAAAAGACACAAGTGGTTTCCAAGAACATGTCAGTCTTCTCCTGGGGAATACCAAATATACTATTTTTGGTGTCACTTCTGGCGTTTGAAATCTGGGCCTTGTGCCCTTGCTTGGCTTTGTTTGGGTTTTTTGGTGGGGGGAGGAAGGGGATTTGTGGGGCTTGAACTCGGGGCCTAGGCACTGTCTCTGAGCTTCTTTTGCTCAAGGCTAGCACTTTACCACTTGAGCCACAGCGCCACTTCTGACTTTTTCTGTGTACGTGGTACTAAGGAATCGAACCGAGGGCTTCATGCATGCGAGGCAAGCGTTCTACCATTGAGCCACCTTCCCAGCCCTCCAAATCCATTCTTAATGTGCAAGAAATAACAGATTTTTGAAGCCAAGCGCTGGTAGCCCACACCTGCCATCCTAGTTACTCAGGAGGCTGAGCTCTGAGGATTGTGGTTCAAAGCCAGGCCAGGCAGGAAAGTCCCATGATACTCTTATCTCTAATGAACCACCAGAAAACCAGAAGTGGTGCTGTGGCTCAAGTGGTAGAGCGCTCGCCTTGAGCTGAAGAGCTGAGGGACAGCGCCCAGGCCCAGAGTTCAAGCCCCACAACTGACCCCCCCCCCCAAAAAAAAATCAGATTTCAGGACTTACGTCTGATTGAGTTAACAAAAGATTTCACAAACTTCACGCTGTATGCGTAGTCGGGTTTGTGAATTCGACCGAGTTGGATCAGGTGCTGGTCCAAAGGCTGGCTGGCCAGCTCTTCCAGTTCCTTGTCATCCCACGCGGGGCCGAAGGACAGCACAAACACGGCGTACCCGTGACACTTGGCTCTCAGCGCCTCTCTCTGCAACGTGTCCCCATCCACGTAGCTCGTCTCCCCGGCCGAGATCACGAAGATCACCTTGTTTCTTCGGGGGTTGGGCGTGCTGAGAAACACCTGGTCCACAGCCCACGCGAGGGCGTGGCCCACCGCCGCCTCCCCGTGGAGCTGCCGCACGGATTGCTGCACGTGTCTCTTCATGAGCCGCCGGCTGCCGTAGGTGGTGAGATTAAACTCAGTCCGCACGGGGCTCCTCGGGGTGTTGGGCAGGAAGTCGGGGGGTGCGTGGCTCAGCAGCGCCACCCGATCTCCCGTGGTGGAAGTCTGGGGATGTGGGGTGATTTCGAAATGATCCAACAGCGACCCCACCAGGTAGCGGAGGTCTGCGAATTCGGCTGCTCCAGCGTTGCGGGAGGCGTCCAGCAGGAAAGCTGCGTCCATGTAGGCCGGCTCCGGGGGTGGACGGGCCGGCTCACAGGAAGCCTCGGGCTGGCACACATCTGTGAACCAAGTGGGCGGGGTTACCTCGCAGGAAGACATGGAAAGATGGTCAGGGGCCACCGTTAGGAAATGACAGGATTTCCCTGAGCCCGGTTTGCAGTAAGTTTGTGGTGGTATGTGTGTGTCCATGTGTCCATCCTGGGGCTTGAGCTCAGGGCCTGAGCACTGTCCCTGAACTTTTATGCTCAAAGCTAGCAGCACTCTACCCACTTGAGCCGCAAGAGTCTCAGTGACTTTTCCTACCTGGGCTGGCTTTGAACCGTTATCCTCAGATCTCAGCCTCTTGAGTAGCTAGGAAGACAGGCGGGAGCCCCCGGCACCTGGCTTGTCTGTGCTTTTTACTTTTTTTTCTCTTTTGTCAGTCCTGGGGCTTGAACTCTGGGCCTGGGCGCTGTCCCTCAGCTCTGCAGCTCAAGGCAAGTGCTCTACCACTTGAGCCACAGCGCCACTCCTGGTGTTCTGGTGGTTCATTGGAGTCTTATGGACTTTCCTGCCAGGGCTGGCTTTGAACCTGGGTCCTCAGATCTCAGCCTCCTGAGGAGCTAGGATGACAGGCGTGAGCCACCCACTCCAGGCTTGGTGAGTGCAAGAGACAGAGAGCTGCATGGTGGTGTGAAAGGGTTTTGATCTGTTGATTAAAGCAATGCGCTCATCACTGCACTTCTGTCATCTTACGAACGATTCATCTGCTGACAGCGGCAGGGTACAATGCCGGTTCATCTTTTGATTTTGATGTAAAGCCTTCACCTCACTGTAAAGGCAAAGCTACAGCTCATCTTTAAAAAAAAAAAAATCTCCATAATGCTCATTACATGAAAGAGCAAGACATGTTAGTTAAAAGCCAGTGACTAGAGCTGATGCATATTCATGGGCTTCCCTAGCATGTGAGCTCATCTTCTCTAATAAGCAGGCCCATCTCGCTTAACAAAAGAATGCGGGCTGGGAAGGTGGCTCCGTGGTAGAGTGCTCACCTAGCATGCATGAAGCCGTGGGTTCCATTCCTCAGTACCACATACACAGAAAAGGCCAGAAGTGGAGCTGTGGCTCAAGCGGGAGAGTGCTAGCCTTGGGCAAAAAAAGCAGCTCAGGGACAATGCCTAGGCCCTGAGTTCAAGCCCCAGAACTGGCACAAAAACGCAAACAGAGCAATTAGAAGGAAGAACACAAATGCAGACATTCAACCAGACTCCGCCATATGGTGCTAAATTAAGACTTTGATCTGAAACGTACGAAGATTTTCACAACCCCATCTTGATCCTGACTGCAGAGCCCCTCGTGAAAATCAGTCACAGCAGGCTGTCCACTCCCTCGCTTCTGTGGGTTTTGTTGTCTTAATTGCTGGGAACAACAACCAAACTATCTTCCTTATGCCAAGAAATGGAGCCGGAACTCAGCCACAGCCATGGACATGGGAGTTCTGACTGGGCGGCCTATGCCATGAAGCTGTGTGGACCTAGTGGGAAGCTGCAGCTGGTGACCCGCGACGTGGGCGTGGCGGAGGAGGAGGGGGAGACGGCTGAGGCTCGGGCCGCCCTGCGCTCTGAGAGTCAGCACGCCTCACCCCCCTGGAGATCCGCCAAGAACAGGAGCCCTCCATTCCTCGTGAGCCCTGAGCATGTGAGCAGCAGCCTTGTGGGGGCTTCCTCCAGCCTTGAACCCCCAGTTACACACCATTACACACCACACACACCCTGGGCTTGAACTCATGGCCTGGGCCGCTGTCCCTGAGCTTCTGTGCTCTACCTCTTGAGCCACAGCGCCACTTCTGGTTTTCTAGTGGTTTATTGGAGGTAAGGGTCTCACGGACTTTCCTGCCCGGGCTGGCTTTGAACCGTGATCCTCAGATCTCAGCCTCCTGAGTAGCTGGGATGGAGCCACTGGCGCCTGGCAAGTGAGTTCTTGACGTCTCTTAATTCCTGCTCCTCATCAAGTCCACTGTAAAGGAGGGCGGGCAGGGTTGATGTGAACGCGGGGACAGGAGCTGGGGAGGCACCAGCAGCGCTAGCGGAAGCCTCAGCTGCCCCAGCCTCCGCCTCCTCCTCCTCCTCCTCACCACCATCCACCTCTCCACGCAGCTCCCGCCCATGGCAAAGCTGAGTTCTGCAACTCGGGCGTCCGCCACCATCTCAGCGGCTTTCCCTGCCATCTTGGCAATTACCAGGAAGCACAGGCGGAGGACGGGCATTTCCCAGTGCCAGCACGCCCAAAGCACACAGATCACCGTGCAGCCGTGCGCACAGTAACCCCGGGGATCTCGAAGTCCTTCCGTGAGAAATCCATGACTTCCTACTACTATACCACGCTAGCTTGTGTGTATGAGTATATATGTATACACAGATATATGCATATGCATATACATACATATATATACACATAACTAGATGCATACATATGTATACATAAGTATATGCATATATTTGTATATACATATACACATAAGTATATGCATACATACGTATATACATATATACACATAGATAAGTATATACATGTGTATATACATATATATGCATACATACACATAGGTATATACATATATGTACACATAATTAAAATATGTTCATATATTTAACATGTAATACTTATAGCTTATATCCTAATTAGGGTATTATATCAAGCCGTGTTACATATTAATATACTATTAATATAAATACAGTATATCGATCTTATACGTGCATAATTATGCATCACTTTAATAGATTAATAGAGGATACCATTTCTTTGTGAGCTGTGAACACTAACCCGAGAAAAACACCCATAAAATATTTTATAGCACGAAACACTTGGCAGATACAGGCTCCCTATTCCTTTTTTTCCTAAAAACCATGAAACTGTTTCCTGGAAACGAGATTACAGAGAGATGTGGAATGTGCCCTCCCACCGCCCTCCAGGGAAGAGACCCACAGGGCTGGGCTGGGTGAGGCCCTATGTGTGGGGGTTGCTGTAGTGGGTGGGGTGTGGCCAGAACCCTGGGAGAACCCTCCAAAGGCCAAGGAAACGCCGGGCGCCGGTGGCTCACGCCTGTCATCCTAGCTACTCAGGAGGCTGAGATCTGAGGATCGCGGTTCAAAGCCAGCCCGGGCAGGAAAATCAGTGAGACTCTTACCTCCAGTGAACCACCGGAAACCGGAAGTGGCGCTGTGGCTCAAGTGGTAGAGCGCTCGCCTTGAGCTGAAGAGCTGAGGGGCAGCGCCCAGGCCCAGAGTTCAGGCCCCACAACCGACAAAAAAAATAAGTAAGGTACGATGAGCGTGGGACTCACCATAGCAGACAGTGCAGCGCTGCAGCGCCGCCAAGGCCGGCCCGGCGTCCTCTCCCGAGGAGACCACGACCACCCGGAACGCGCCCGTGTCATCCATCTGTGGGCAGAGGGAGGGACAGTGAAGGGCATGCACGTGAGACCCTCTTGTACTGCACAACCCTGAGATGGCGGGGAGGGGGGGCGCGGGGCAGGGGTGAAGAGCACCCGGCTCTCCCCACAGCCTGATGACTGGTTTCCGCTTCGGTTTCGCTCATCTGTGAAGTGGGAATACTCTGGGTCCGGAGCAGCCCCCCCAAACATCTTCCTGTCCCAGGCACCTACCACCCCAAGAGCGCACGCATCCTGGTCTTCAGCTACACGCAGAGAAACTGGGTTAATCAGAAGGGCTGGTGTCAGTGGCTCACGCCTGTCATCCTAACTACTCAGGAGAGGCTGAGATCTGAGGATCATGGTTCCTAGCCAGCCCAGGCAGGAAAGTCCTTGAGATTCTTTTTTTGTGTGTGTGGGGGGGGGTCTGGTCATGGGGCCTGAACTCTGGGCCTGGGCGCTGTCCCTCAGCTCTTCAGCTCAAGGCGAGCACTCTACCACTTGAGCCACAGCGCCACTTCCAGCTTTTTTATTTTTTTTGCTTATGTGGTGCTGAGGAATCAAACCCAGGGCCTCATGCATGCAAGGCAAGCACTCTACCACTGAGCCACCTTCCCAGCCCCCGTCCTTGAGATTCTTATCTCCAATGAACCACTGGAAAACCAGAAGCGGTGCTGCCCAGGACTGACACCAAGAAAAGAAAATAATCAGAATTCTGAAGCTGTGGCTTTGTCACAGCCCCGTCATTTGCATAGCCTGGCCCTGTCCTTCCTGATTCGCATGCATTCTAAGCCCCACCCCACTGTCTACTTCATTTGCATAATTCCAAGAGCAGAGCCAAACCCATCAGCATCTCCCAGAGTTCCATCAGCCAACCAAGCATCAAGCTGCTGAACGATAATCATCATAATTCCAGAAAAAGCTGTCATTCTTGGGGGAGGGGGGAGCGGTCGTGGGGCCTGAACTCTGGGTCTGGGTGCTGTCCCTCAGCTCTTCAGCTCAGGGCAGGCGCTCTACCACTTGAGCCACAGCACCGCTTCAAATTTTCATTGGAGATAAAGAGTCTCACAGCCTTTGCTGCCCAGGCTGGCTTTGAACCAGAATCCTCAGATCTCAGACTCCTGAGTAGCTAGGATGACAGGCGTGAGCCATGGGCGTCTAGCTCATCTAACAGAAGTTTTTTTTTTTTCTCCCTGAACCACCATCTGCCTAGTTGAGGCTTTTTGGGGTAGCCAGGATGACCGGTGCCCACCCAGTGTCTTCCCACTGAGAGAATCGCACAGGCTTTTCCACCCAGGCAGGCCTAGAGCCAAGATCCCCACCCCACACCTTCACCCTAGTAGCTGGGATTACAGGTATGCGCTACTGCACCCAGCTAAGCTTGAAGGCAAGGAAATGCGGTGTGTGTGCATTCTCACGAAGTTTCTAGGTTGCAGACATCATCAAGGAAGGCGAACCACCCTCCTGTAAGCCTTCACTCTTACCGCAAAGGCCCGCTTCACCGAGGGTACCGGGCGGAAGGCAATGACCACAGGGACGATATCCAGGGCGCTGAATTCCATGGCGGCCGTGGTGATCATCTGGGCGTCAGCCGACGGACCGCTGGTGAAAAAAGCAGCGATCCTTCTCGTGTGAGCCCCGGGCAGCGTCCGCTTGAAGACATGTCTGGAGATAAACCGCATGGCCTGGCCCAGCTCCCTCTGGGCCGAGCCCGGCTGGAACGGCAGCGTCTCGATCTCTCGGAGCAGCTGCTGCTTCGTGTGGCTGTCGGAGAGGCGGATCCGGTGCTGGGCGTGGGAGCCGTAGGTGAGGACGGCCACTCGGGCACCCGCGGGACACCCGTGCTCGCGGACCCGCACGCCCTGCAGCAGGGAGACCACCATGGCCTTCATCCGCTCGAACTCCTGCGCCGTCACCTCGCGAGACTGGTCCAGGGCAAACACCAAGTCGGTGGGGTGCACCGGGCATCGGGGTGCTCCTGAAAGACAGGGGAGGCGTGCTGGCTTCATGGTGGAGGGAGGGGTGACATGGCCCTCCCCCCAAAAAAGAGAAATGCACTCAGCACCTGACTTGGAACCACTCTGCACAGCACCTTAATAAGAACTACAAACGCTGGGCGCCGGTGGCTCACACCTGTCATCCTAGCTACTCAGGAGGCTGAGAGCTGAGGATCCTGGTTCAAAGCCAGCCCGGGCAGGAAAGTCCCTGAGACTCTTCTCTCCAATAAATCACTCAACAATATAGCCAGAGGCGGGGGGTGTGGTTCAGATGGTAGAGCACCAGTACCAGCACACACACAAAACGACTGATGCTAAAATGGCCTCCCCCTGGCTCTTCGGACAAATCACTGGGAAACCCCAGGCGGGTGCCGGAAGTTGCAGGCTTCTCTGCCGGAAAGGAAGCCCGGAGAAAGTTTCTACCCCTTGGTGGCCGGAACCCATCTGTCCCCGCGTGCGACATTCTCAGAACTTCATCCAGACACGCCGGAAGTAGAGACGACTTACCCTGTCTGCAAGCTGGGGAGAAAGAATGGAGGAGACTGAGTTACTGTTTGGTAAGAGAAGGAACGGAGCTGTACTGGGCGCAGACATCATGGCTACTGCCCCAGATGCTTTGGTGGGACTCTCAAATTGGCTGAGACACCCCCCTGATTTTAAGGGGGGGGAGAAAAGAAGGGGAAACAGCACACAGTGGTCCATCAGCAGCCTGTGGCCAGCCAAGGACAGACCGTCTCTACCTGAGTAGAGACACTTACTGTCTGTACACACTTATGACTACCAATACACACACACACACAATTTATGTGCATATGCAGGCCAAGTAACTCTTATCTGACATTACAAGTGTTTCAGATTTTTTTTTTCAGAATTTGGCATAAATTCACCGTTAATGGGATCCAAGTCTAAAATGAAGTTCATCCTCTGGGTATTGGTGGCTCACCCCTGTCATCCTAGCTACTCAGGAGGCTGAGATCTGAGCATCATGGTTCAAAGCCAGCCTGGGCAGGAAAGATCATGAGACTCTGATCTCCAATGAACCACTCAGAAAACTGGAAGTGGTGCTGTGGCTCAAGTGGTAGAGTGCTAGCCTTGAGCTGAAGGACAGCACCCAGGCCCAGAGTTCAAGCCCCACAACCAACAAAAAATTATGTTTCGTACACACTTTATACATGTACCCTCAGAGTAACTATATATTACTTTTAGTATACTTTCTTTTCTGTACACGGGTACTAGGCCTTTTTGTTGGTGGTGGTAGTCATGGGTCTTGAACTCTGGGCCTGGGCGCTGTCCCTCAGCTCTTCAGCTCAAAGCAAGTGCTCTACCACTTAAGCCACAGCGCCACTTCTGGTTTTCTGGTGGTTTATTGGAGATAAGAGTCTCATGGCCTTTCCTGGCCCCGGGCTGGTTTTGAATCATGATCCTCAGATCTCAGCCTCCTGAGTAGCTAGGATGACAGGTGTGAGCCACCGGTGCCCAGCGGTGCAGCCTTTAAAATATAGATAGTTTTATTATTTTTTTTCTGTTTATGTGGGACTGAGGAATTGAGCCAGGGCTTCCTGCATGCTAGGCCAAGTATTCTACCACTAAGCCACAGTCCCAGCCTGGAGTGCTGGGTCTTGAAATCAGAGCCTCCCGTTGCTCATGGCTAGCACTCGGATCACACCTCTAGTCTGGCTTTTTGCTGGTTAGTTGGAGATGAACTCACAAGAACTTTTCTACTCAGGCTGGCTTTGCACTCCACAAATTCTTTGAATTAACCAGCAAAATGCCGGAAGTGGAGGCACGGTTCAAGTGGTCTAACGCTAGCGTTGAGCACGAAAGCTCAGACACGGAGCCCAGGCCCTGAGTTCAAGCCCCAAGAACCAGAACAAAACGACAGCCAAACAAAACCCACACTGGGCGGCTGATGGTGTCTGCTGCGTCGGCATTTGTGTGGCAGCTCACACGGTGGGGTACTATAGCAGGTACTTACGGCTGCTGTCCCGCACGTACTGGATGAGGTCACAAGTCTGCAGTTCAAAAACAAAACACAAGAGAATTCACCAATGGAGCTGGGTCACCACGTCGACAAAGCAATCGGGGAAATGGAGCGTTGGGTGTCGGGTGGGAGAGAGGAAATACTTACGGAGAATGAGGGTAAGCCCCGGGCTCCCTTCACGCCCTAGGAGACAAACAAATGTTTTAGGATCTCATAGTCACACACAATAGGAGCCGGAAGGTGACCAGCACTGTCACGGGAAGGGACCGATCTTAGCAGCTTTGTTTTGGGTTTTTTTTTTTTTTTGGCCAGTCCTGGGCTTGAACTCAGGGCCTGGGCGCTGTCTCTGAGCTTTGCTACTCAAGCCTGGTGTTCTACCACTTGAGCCACAGCGCCACTTCCACTTTTCTGGTGGTTCATTGGAGATGAGAGTCTCAGGGACTTCCCTACCCGGGCTGGCTTTGAACCTCTAATCCTCAGATCTCAGGCTCCTGTGAAGCTAGGATGACAGGCGGGAGCTACTAGAGTCAGCCTTGCATTGACATTTATTTTTAATCAGTCCTGGGGCTTGAACTCAGGGCCTGGGCGCTGTTCCTGAGCTGCTTTGGCTCAAGGCTAGTGCTCTACCTCTTGAGCCACAGTGCCACTTCTGGCTTTTTCTGGATAGTTTATTGTACTTTTGAAATGGAAGAGGACTTGGGGTGATGGGTAACTTGTCCACTTACTTTCCGTCCGGGAGGTCCTGGTTCCCCGGGAATTCCCGGCTCCCCAGGAAATCCAGAAGATACCTCAAAGCAAGAGTGACTGATTAGAAAATCATAGTTGAATGTGCCTGTGTCTTTTCAATTCAGTTCTAAAATACTTAAAGACCAAAGACTAGAAAGGGAACCTTTTTTTTCCTTCTTTTTCCAGTCCTGGGGCTTGAACTCGGCCTGGGCATTGTCCTTGAGCTTCTTTTGCTCAAGGCTAGCGCTCTACCACTTGAGTCACAGCGCCACTTCTGGCTTTTTCTGTGTATGTGGTACTGAGGAATCGAACCCAGGGCTTCATGTGTGCTAGGTGAGCACTCTACCACTGAGCCACACTCCCAGCCCCACAAGTGAACTTTTACTTCCATTTTACAGAATTGAGAGATTTAAAAGTACACACGTACATGTGTACACACACACATACACAGAGAGAAGGGGGGGAATTCCCCAGGTATCTCTTCTCCAAATAATCCTTGCTAACATGTTAGTGAATTGTCTTATTCACTTAGTATTAAGACATATGTTCTTTTTAAAATACTACTTGATGGGGTCTAGGAAGGTGGCTCAGTGGTAGAGTGCTTGACTAGCATGCATGAAGCCCTGGGTTCAATCCTCAGTACCACATAAACAAAAATTGAGCTGGGTGCTGGTAACTCACACCTGTCATCCCAGCTACTCAGGGGGCTGAGATCTGAGGACTGTGGTTCAAAGCCAGCCCAGGCAGGAAAGTCTGTGAGACTCATCTCCAATGAACCACCAGAAAAGTAGAAGTGGCGCTGTGGCTCAAGTGAGAGATCACTTGCCTTGAGCAAAGGAAGGTCAGAGACAGTGCCCAGGCCCTGAGTTCAAGTCCCAGGACTAGAAAAAAAATACTACTTGATTGGTTCACATTTTGCTTTGATTTTTGGCCAGTCCCAGGGTTTGAACCCGGAGTCTTGCACTCAGAGGCTTGTTTGGTTGGCATCTAACACCCGACCTATGCCTCAAGCCCAACTTTTTCCTGGTTAATTGTGAAGCGGATGATTAGAGTCTTAGAGTTTCACAGACTTTCCTGCCCGGGGCTGGCTTTGAACCCTGAACCTCAGATCTCAGCCTCCTGAGTAGCTAGGATGACAGGCGTGAGCCACTAGCATCCGGCATTTCTTTTCTTTTCTCTTTTGCTTTTATAACCTTGCAAGTTTCTAGAAGTTCCAGGGGTTGGAGAGGGCCCCTCTTGGGAACCTGGGCAGCAGCTCACCATTCTTCCCGGGGCTCCTTTGGGTCCAGTTTCTCCCAGATCACCAGGGTCCCCGATCTCACCCTAGATACATGCATGAAAATACAATGGTTATTGAAATCAGCGACCTCACGGGGTCTGTGGTGTTATGATTGGGGATGAGACCATATTGGGCTTGAACTCAGGGCCTCGCTCAGTTGGATTTTTCACTCAATGCTGGAGCTCTTCTGCCTGAGCCACAGCTCCATTTCTGGCTTTTTGCTGGGAGTCTCTCTCTAAATTGTCTACTTGGGCTGGCCTTGAACTGTGATCCTCAGATCTCAGCCTCCTGAGTAGCTAGGATGACGGGTGTGAGCCACTGACCTCTGACTCCCCAAGAGGGTATTTCTGACAGTTCTTTAGATGCAGTGAACTTCACAGTACCTTGAGTCCGATTTCTCCAGGGAATCCCTCTTGACCCTACAATGGACAGCAGACAAAAATCAACCTACGCATGCGTCACTGGGTACATTCACCCTTTTTTTTTGGTCGGTCGTGGGGCCTGAACTCTGGGCCTGGGTGCTGTCCCTCAGCTCTTCAGCTCAAGGCAAGTGCTTTACCACTTGAGCCTCAGCACCCCTTCTGGTTTTCTGAGTGGTTTACTAGAGATAAGAGTCTCATGGACTTTCCTGCCCGGGAAGGCTTTGAACCACGATCCTCAGATCTCAGCCTCCTGAGTAGCTAGGATGACAGGCGAGTATCCTGAAGTTAGTATTTGGTTCAAAGAGAAACCCTGTAGACTCTTATGCTAATGTAACAATTATGGATGGACCAATCACAGACTCCATTCCTGAAGAGACCGAAGGGAGCAGGGAGCCAAGATAGACTTGGCCCCATTCATCATCCACCCCAAACCTGGAATACTCAGTTTCCCAAGGTCGATGCCGGTACCTGGGCCTTACCTTCTCCCCTTTGCGGCCAACACGGCCATAACCCGGAAGGCCATCGTCACCCTGTAAAAAGATCCTAAGTGAGAAACACCGCGGAATACAGACTGGGAGCAGAAGCGGGGGCAGTTGATTCACAAGGAGACACACAACAAAGGGTTTGGGTTTGATTGGGGTCCATGAAGAAGCAAGAACCCTTCTCCCAGCCAGGCGCCGGTGGCTCACGCCTGTCATCCTAGCTACTCAGGAGGCTGAGATCTGAGGATCGCGGTTCAAAGCCAGCCCTGGGCAGGAAAAGTCCGTGAGACTCTGATCTCCCCCAAAAAAGCTTTAGAATTGGTGCCGTGGCTCAAGTGGTAGAGCTCCAGACTTGAGCAAAAACAGATCCAGGGGGATAGGACCCAGGCCCTGAGTTCAAGCCTCAGGGGACGGACACACACATACACACACACACAATCACCCCGCCATATTGAGGTAGCATCTATCCATTGATTCCCAGACCCAGAAAGAGAGCAGCGATCGCACCTGAACACCTCGAGGGCCCGGGAAGCCGGCGGCTCCTCTCCTCCCGCTATCTCCAGGCTCTCCCTGCACAAACACAACAGTGGGCATCAGGAAGATGGCACTAAAGCAGCAGCGTTCGGCGGGGCCTATGGGAGTCACGCAGCACCATGGCTGCGCGCCATCATGACGTCGCTGCTGCAGAAATGGCAGGTGTCTTGGTCCATTTTGAGGCGGCCGAGTGTGAGTCAGACAGCCAGGAAGCTCAGCATGGCCTGGGAGGCGGGGGGCCTCTTAAGAGGGGCATGTGTCCCCATCGATGACAAACCCACCTCCCACGGGCTTTGGGAGGAAGCAGCTTCATGGGACATTCGTAGGATTCGGGTTTACAAAGGAACATTCATAAATGGGCGCTGGTGGCTCACGCCTGTCATCCTAGCTACTCAGGAGGCTGAGATCTGAGGATCACAGTTCAAAGCCAGCCTGGGCAGGAAAGACTGAGACTCTGATCTCCAATGAACCACCAGAAAACCAGAAGTGGTACTGTAGCCCAAGTGGTAGAGCTCTTGCCTTGAGCTGAAGAGCTGAGGGACAGCGCCCAGGCCCAGAGTTCAAGCCCCACAACCAACAAAAAAACCAATGAAAATTCATTTGTTTGTGCCAATACTAGGGTTTGAACTCTAGGCCTGGACACTGTCCTGGAGCTTTTCTGCTCAAGGCTAGTGCTCTACCAATTCAGCCATGGATCTACTTCTGTTTTTTGTTGTTTTGTTTTTTTGTCAGTCATGGGGCTTGAACTCAGGGCCTAGGCTCAGTCCCTCAGCTCTTCAGCTCAAGATGAGCATTCTACCACTTGAGCCACAGCGCCACTTCCAGTTTTCTGAGTGGTTTATTGGAGTCTCACAGACTTTTCCTGCCTGGGCTGGCTTTGAACCATGATCCTCAGATCTCAGTCTCCTGAGTAGCTAGGATGACAGGCGTGAGCCACCAGGTCCCAGCAGAGAAAGGCTTCTTTGAAGAATAAACATGGTCCTCACTAACAGACAACATGTATAATAGGAAAGAAGATAGCAATGAATTATAATTAGGTGGGAAGGGGGAAAAAAAAGAGGAAAATATGCTGATTTCTAGGAAGGAAAGTTCAAGAAGGGGTCCTCAGGAATATCAGCTGGTGGCTGTATGCCAGTGGCTCACGCCTGTCATCCTAGCTACTCAGGAGGCTGAGATCTGAGGATCGCAGTTCAAAGCCAGCCCGGGCAGGAAAGTCCGTGAGACTCTTATCTCCAATGAACCACCACAAAACCAGAAGTGGCGCTGTGGCTCAAGTGGTAGAGCGCTCACCTTGAGCTGAAGAGCTGAGGGTCAGCGCCCAGGCCCAGAGTTCAAGCCTCACGACCGACAAATAGAAATTAAAAAAAAAAGGAACAAGGGAGTGAAGAGGCAGGCCAGGAGGCAGGGGGAAGGAGCAGATGAGTGGGCAGAGAAAGGAAGCTGGCCACTCCAGGCCATCCCTGGGCTGGAGATGGGGCAAATGAGATTAGGCTGAGCTGGAATGGCTGAGCTCATCCTGGTCCCCACCCTAGACCCGGGAGGGTGCTGACTCTCGAAGAATTAAGTCAGGCTCTGGGGCAGCTGAGCTGTGTTTTATGTCTTTGTGTTGAAAGGGTTCTGGCTAATGCCAGCAGACCGATGTAGCTCTCTTGAGGAGGGGGTGGGGGGAAATGGTCCAGTTTGGGGGGTGTCAAGAATGTGACCTACTTTATTTCCTTGGCTTCCCACACGGCCTGGATTTCCTGCCTCTCCTCCCGGTCCTGGAGGCCCCTGGAATGAAACGAGGATCGAAAAGCTTCAGCACCACACAGACTGACTCTCCCCGAAACCTCCCTGTGTCTCCTCTAAGAGGTGAAATCAAGCGCAGATGTGAAGATGGTCAGGGCGGGCCGACTCCTGCCCTGGGGAAGAAAAAAAAAGGATTGCAGCTGTCAAAGAAAGCTAGTGAATAAAAGCAAACGAATAAAGCAAGCCAGATGGTGGCCAAATGACTTTATGCTTTCTTGGGAGGGTTCCCCCCAAAAAAGGAAGAAAGAAAAAAGAGAGAAAGAAAGAAAGAGAGAGAGAGAGAGAAGGAAGGAAAAGAGAAAAGAAAAGAAAGGAAGGAGGGAAAGAAAGAGAATTCAGGTTCTCAATGTTTTTTGCTTCTGGGGCAGATGTTACTAAAATGTCTAATAGTTGAAAAAATTTATTCCAAATGACATTGGCCTTAAAAAATGAGTTCTACCTCAGAAAGGGATCAGTCTTTTATTATTATTATTATTTTGGAAAGTAAACGTACTTTTATTTGCAAATGACATCTTGTGCATTTGAAAGCTCAAGATATTAAAGAAAAATACCTAGCACTTTATAACAAAAACTTCTCAGGAAGTGCCAGATAAATCTTCTGGACTAGTCCTTAGAAACTGTTAAAAAAAAAAAAAAGGCAATTGTGCGTGGCACCCGTGGCTCACGCCCGTCATCCTAGCTACTCAGGAGGCTGAGATCTGAGGATCACGGTTCAAAGCCAGCCTGGGTAGGAAAGTCCTTGAGACTCTGATCTCCAATGAACCACCAGAAAACCAGAAGTGGTGCTGTGGCTCAAGTGGTAGAGCGCTTGCTTTGAGCTGAAGAGCTAGAGGGACAGCACCCAGCCCCAAGACCAACAAAAAAAAAAGGGGGGGAGAGGGTTTGAAACACTGTGAAATCCTTAAGATAGATTTATCAAAGAAAGCTTTAAGCCAAGCGCTGGTGGCTCATACCTTGCTACATAGGCTGTTGAGATCTGAGGATCACAGTTCAAAGCCAGCTTGGGCAGGAAAATTCACTGAGACTCTTATTTCCAATGAACTATCAGCAAACTGAAAGGGGAGCTGTGGGTAAATCACAGGCCACTTCCAGCTTGATTGCTGATAGTTCATTCAAGAGAAGAGACTCAGTGAACTTTAGCAAAAGCATCAAGCCTGAGTATTGGCATAAATGCACACACAGAGACACACGGAAAGAAAGCCCTTAAGATCTTATTGGCCGGGCACTGGTGGCTCACACCTGTCATCCTCGCTTCTGAGGAGGCCTGAGATTTGAGGATCTCGATTCAAAGCTGGCCCAGGCAGAAAAAGTCCATGAGATTTTTATCTCCAATAAACTGGAAGTGGTGCTGTGGCTCAAGTGGTAGAGCATTACCTTGAGCTGAAGAGCTCAGGGACAGCGTCCAGGCTCAGAGTTCAAGCCCCAAGACCAACCAAAAAAAAAAAAACTTATTGAAGAATATTTTTTTAAAAAACCCTCAAAACAGATAGACATAGAATATATCTATATGGAAAATCTATGACGTACCAGTATAATAAGTCCTTCTTGCTGCCCAGAAAGCCTGTTTTTCTGGAATAGTTCCAGAGCCAAAAATCTTACAACACCAATTCACACACAAGTTGCTTTTCTCTCCTCCTAACACTGGATGAGAATCCCCCTCTTTGGAATATCCAAATAATATCAAGAGCAATCTCCATGGGGCCAACGCCCTCTACAGATTCTTCAAAGTCATTCAAACACTAGCGAGTTCCAATCATATTCACAACGTTTTAATTACGGCGGCCATCATGCTGGAGAAAAATAATAATAATAAATAATTGTAATAACCCCAATCGCCAACAGCATTTTCCCTCTGCCAAGTAGACGGCTTCAGAAAAAAAAAAAAAATCAAGCACAGAAAGCCATGGTACCCAGCCAGCCAAATGGAAAGGAAGCCTGGCGAAGAGAAGTCCTTTGTTTGCCTAACTGGCAATGTCCAGAGAGTGAACGATTTATGACAACCATAAGCAAGAGGAAAGAGAACACAAGCCATTCCCACCAGAGCTGCCTGCCCAGCACAGGGGAATGCTGGTGGGTACCAATGGCCACCTGCAACCAATTCCACAACAACAAGAGACTGTAATCCATGCTGCATCTATAGACTTGATCAAAGACCAGTGAGGTCATCACCCAATAGACTTTCCTTTGGCATCTGTTGCCATGTTTCTCGCCCTGTGGGCTTGTGCTCGTTCTGGGCCTTGAACTTACCTCTTCTGCAAGATGAAACCCATCTGGTAGTGTCTTCTAGAACATGCCACAGTGTTATTTTTTGAGATCCTGGGGCTTGAACTCAGGGTCTGGGTGCTGTCCCTGAGCTGCTTTTGTGCAAGGCTAGCACTCTATCACTTGAGTCACAGTGCCACTTCCAGTTTTCTGGTGGTTTATTGGAGATAAGAGTTTCATGGACTTTCCTGCCTGGGCTGGCTTTGAACCGTGATCCTCAGATCTCAGCCTCCTGAGTAGCTAGGATGACGGGCGTGAGCCACTGGTGCCCAGCTTGCCACAGAATTGTCATAGAGAGACTGGTTTTCAATTTTGATGAAAGTACTCTCTCGAGCAGCATGAAACTTGATCACTGTATTATAGAACTAAATTGCTGGAAAGTTGACAATTGTGGATTCAAAGAAAGAGTTTGCTCACACCACAAATTAAGATGAAAAAGAAAACTGATGGGCTGGGGGCAAGAGGGCTCACGCCTGTCATCCTAGCTACTCAGGAGGCTGAGATCTGGGGATCACAGTTCAAAGCCAGCCCGGGCAGGAAAGTCCATGAAACTCTTATCTCCAATAAACCACCAGAAAACCAGAAGTGGCGCTCTGGCTCAAGTGTAGAGTGCTAGCCTTGAGCTGAAGAGCTCAGGAACAGCGCCCAGATCCTGAGTTCAAGACCCAGGATCAGAACCAAAAAAAAAAAGACAAAAAAGCCTTCCACATTAAAGCCAAGATCAAAGCTACATGTACTTTTGGCTTATAACCTCTCTCCCCCTCTCTCTCCCTTTCCTCCCTTCTCTCCTTCCCTCCCTTCCTTCCCACCCTGTCATTGCATACCTGAGGGCCTTTCATTCCCAGACTTCCTTTTTCGCCTCTTGTTCCAGCCTCTCCTCTTGGTCCCTAAATGTACAGAATGGAAGTTACTTTTCTCCCTAAAAAGGAACACTTGCGAATGTAGTATCTCGCACACATGGAAAGGCCAAGTAAGACAGAGAAATAGAGATTCCATCGCTCCAGTCACGTCATAGGTCACAGTGATCATTCAAGTTCTTCCTCATCTAGGGCACAATTGCTGTCTTCGGGATCCATATGCTAAATCCATGACTTTGTTAGGTGCAAAAGGGGAAAAAGAATTCAATTATGTAAATCTAAAACCAGATCATTTAAATACATTTTCTACTCCATGGCCACACTAAAGACTGGCCATATAAAGCAGGGCTCCAAAGCCCGGTACCAGTGGCTCACGCCTAGCTACTCAGGAGGCTGAGATCTGAGGATTGCTGTTCTAAGCCAGCCCCGGGCAGGAACACCTGTGAGACTCTTATCTCAATAAACGACCAGAAAACCCGAAGTGGCATTGTGGCTCAATTGGTAGAGCACTTGTCTTGAGCTGAAGAACTGAGAGACAGCACCCAGGCCCAGAGTTCAAGCCCCACAACCAACACACACATACACACACACACACACACACACACACAGCTCCAGGACAGCGCCCAGGCCCTGAGTTCAAGCCCTTGGCCTGGCATGCACGTGTGCATGCGCATGCATGCACACACACAGTCTCAGGGGCTTTCCTGCCCAGCTTTGGTGATCCTCAGATCTCAGCCTCCTGAGTAGCTAGGATGAAGGCATGAGCCATCTCACCCGGCTTATGTTGCCTGTTAGTGTTCAGATTGTCCATAGATGATACTAAGAAATTTCCAGACCGTGCTTGGTTTAGGCTTCTTCTAAATTATGTTGTGGGGGGAAAAGATGGGAGAAAGGATCCTGTATTGTTACTTGTTTAGCTACTGAAATGCATGTTTAGAAAGCCAGGACCAGTGGCTCACGTCTGTCATCCTAGCTACTCAGGAGGCTGAGATCTGAGGATGATGGTTCAAAGCCATCCCAGGTAGGAAAGTCTGTGAGACTCTTATCTCCAACGAACCGCCTGAAAATCATAAGTGGTACTGTGGCTCAAGTGGTAGAGCGAGCACTCACCTTGAGCTGAAGAGCTGAAGGACAGTGCCCAGGCTCAGAGTTCAAGCCCATGACCAAAAATTAAAAAAAAGCAAAGAAAGAAAAGAAATAGACCCTTAGGGGATGGAGCCATGGTTCAGTTGGTAGAGGGACAGCCAGTGAGTAGAAGCATCAGGTACTGAGTTCAAGTCCTACTCTCAACCAAAAGAAAGAAATGTGTCTCTCTTCAAGCTCAGTGGCCAATATTTCCCACTTACAAGGAAGGAAATGGGGCTTTGCTGGGCTGGCAAGAACGACACAGCAAAGCAATACCAGCTGCGGAGAACCAGGCAGCTAAGAGATGGTTGATTGCTCAGAAATCTTGGTAAGATGTAGGCCACGCCTGGCTTCTCTTGATGAAAGCTAACTTACCCAACTCCCCTGCACCACACTATCATTGTGTAAAGCTTGTATTTCCTTAAGTGTTTGTTTGAAAACTTTGAAAGATAGCAGAACTACCAACTGGCCTGACATAAGCCAAACATCTTTCATCTCTCGTGCTTTCATAAGTAAGTCTGAAGAGGCCAAAGTCAAGTCGGATCTGCGTTCTGTCTTCTTTCATGTCAGACGCTCTTATTTTAATTTGTGCCAGTACTGGGGCTTGAACTCAGGGCCCTGCACCCTTGCTTTCTTTGCTCAAGGCTGATGTTCTAACCACTTTGAGCCACCCCTCCACTTCCAGCTTTCTTTTTTGGGGGACTTGAACTCCGAGCCTGGGCTCTGTCCGTGGGCTCTTTTGGCTCAAAGTTAGTACTCTATCACTTGAGCCACCACACCACTTGGAGCTTTTTCTGTGATTAATTAGAGATGAGAGGCTCACAGAATTTCCTGCCTGAGCTGGCTTCAAATCATGATCCTCAAATCTCAGCCTCCTGAGTAGCTAGGATGACAGGCGTGAGCCACCAGTGCCCCTTACTTCCAGCTTTTTGGTGATTTACTGGAGATAAAGATTATCATGTCCAGGTGCTGGTGGTTCACGCCTGTCATCCTAACTACTCAGGAGGCTGAGATCTGAGGATCCTGGTTCAAAGCCAGCCTAGGCAAGAAAGTCCATGAGACTCTTATCTCCGATGAACCACCAGAAAATGGGAAGTGGTGCTGTAGCTCAAGTGGTAGAGCGCTCGCCTTGAGCTGAAGAGCTGAGGGACAGCGGCCAGGCCCAGAGTTCAAGCCCCACCACTGACAAAAAGATTCTCATGGACTATTCCTGCTCAGGCTGGCTTTGAACTGTGATCCTTTGAACTGTGATCCTCAGATAACTGCCTTCTGAGTAGCTAGGATGACAGGTGTCATTGTTATTTTAGGCTACATTTTTTTTGGGGGGGGTCCAGTCGTGGGGCTTGAACTCTGGGCCTGTCCCTCAGCTCTTCAGCTCAAGGCTAGCACTCTACCACTTGAGCCACAGCGCCACTTCCGGCTTTTTTCTTTTTGCTTCTGTGGTGCTGAGGAATCGAACCCAGGGCCTCAGGCATGCAAGGCAAGCGCTCTACCACTGAGCCACCTTCCCAGCCCTTTAGGCTACATTTCACCCTGTCTGGCCTGCGCTTCTGCTCTCTCCTCGTGTGACCTGCGCAGAGAGCCAACAATGGCTTATTCCCTGCAAAGAAAAATAAAAATGCTGAAGGCAGCTCCCTCGAGAAGTGAACTGGAAAAGACAGGCAGAGTGCCCTGTGATTGGATGGGACCCCCCCCACACACACAGTCAATTATCCAGCTGCATTAGGACCAATATTTTCCTAGAGCAGAGCCAATATCTCAACACCACGGACATCCAGAGATGCAACACGGAACCATTCCTGTACCGGCTGAGCCTCCCCGGCCCCAGATGTTTTGAGCATCAACATTTCCTTTGGCCCAAGGGTTCCCAGGATTATTTCTTAACCTTGAACCCAGCCTGCACAGGGCCTGCAGTCCTCTGTGTTCATTCTCCTTTCTTCTCTGGCCCACGACACAACTTAGATCAAAGAGATCTAATGCTTTGTTCAAGGCCGGATTGGGTTGCTTCTTTATTTGTTGAAACCTCTGGAATTGTGCAAGCTGGAAGTTATTTTTTTTTTATTTTGTTGGACGTGGGGCTTGAACTCTGGACCTGGGCGCTGTCCCTCAGCTCTTCAGCTCAAGGCAAGTGCTCTACCACTTGAGCCACAGCGCCACTTCCGGTATTCTGGTGGCTCATTGGAGATCAGAGTCTCATGGACTTTCCTGCCGGGCTGGCTTTGAACCAGGATCCTCAGATCTCAGCCTCCTGAGTAGCTAGGATGACAGGTGTGAGCCACCAGCGCCTGGCTTTGAAAGTTATTTGATCAAGGCTTAAAAGGTTCTTCAACACTCAGATGTTCCCATACCTTGGCTGGTCTCAACACATACCTGAGGGCCCTGAAGTCCTGGTGAGCCTTCTGGTCCATCTGGGCCTGGGACCCCAGGTCTACCCTGTGGTGAGAATGAATTAGGCTGTTAGTTCTGTGGCCTGGAAATTTGGGATCCATAGGTTCAAGAGCAGGATTTTTTTTTGTTTTCTGGTTGGTTGTGGGACTTGAACTCTGGGCCTAGACGTTGTCCCTCAGCTCTTCAGCTCAAGGAGAGCACTCTATCACTTGAGCCACAATGCCACTTCCGTTTTCTGGTGGTTCGTTGAACATAAGAGTCTCACAGATCCTCCTGCTTGGGCTGGCTCTGAACCTCGATCCTTAGATCTCAGCCTCCTGAGCAGCTAGGATGACAGGCATGAGCCACCAGTGCCTGGCTTCATAATTATTTTTATTGATGATCAGACTGGCCTCAAACCATGACCACTCAATTTCTATTTCTCCAGTAGCCAGAATTATAAGCTTGAGCCACTTTGCTAGTCTTATTCTGTTTTTAATGCAATATGTGTTTTTAAAAAAACAGAAAAAAACATCAAGCAAACACCAGTTGGTGGCTCATACCTGTAATCCTATAATCCTAGCTACTCAGGAGGCTGAGATCTGAGGGTCGCAGTTCAAAGCCAGCCCAGGCAGGAAAGTCTATGAGACTCTTATCTCCAATGAACCACCAGAAAACCAGAAGTAGAGCTCTGGCTCAAGGGGTAGAGCACTAGCCCTGGGCCAAAGAAGCTTGGGAACAGCACTCAGACCCTGAGTTCAAGTTCTAGGACCAGAAAAAAATAATTACATAAAAACCCAGTTACCTGTGGGCCTGTATGTCCTCTTGGGCCATGAGCTACCTACAATAGGGAGGAAAAAAAAAGGAAAGAAAAGAAATAGTGTGAATTTACAAGACAAAAGGCAGTTTACAGTTTTATTTCAATTAGTAATAACTACCTTGAAGCACCAACAAATAGATAAATTTCCACAGGGTGCTTAAACCATTCAATCATCCACTTCACTGACAAGCAACATGGTGCCAACCCTGCCTTTCTAACAAAAATCATAGCTAATGGAAAGAAGACGGGCCGTGGGCAGCAATGTGGCCTATATTGGACTCTCACTACAGCTGCTTTCCAGTCCCACAATCGACTGCTTCCAATATTGTTTCTTTTTCTCTTCTCCAAGTTCACCAAAAGTCAGCAGTGGACTAGCAGAGACCAGAGGGAAAAAAACAGAATAAAATTCCAGGAACTTTGTCATAGCTTGAATTCAGAGAGGAAAGCAAGCCAGAAGAGCGGGGATTTTGTTTGTTTTTTTTAATGTTTTAAAGCCAAGCCATCTGAATGCCTGTCAGAAATGAATCATCTGAAACATTCACGAGTTACTCAATTTAGCATTATTAATAAAAGATCGCCAACCAAACGATCAGTGCATTTTTCATTCTGGGGAAGGTAAGGCGAGCCGTATCAATGGATCAGGAAGTTAAAAGGCAAAGACACCGGGCACCCATGGTTCACTCCTGTAATCGTAGCTGTCATCCTCAGGAAGCTGGGGTCTGAGGTTCAAAGTTCAAATCCAACCCAGGCAGGAAGGTTCATGAGAACTGCTGCTTTCTGGCCTGAATCCTTCCTCTCTGCCTCCAGGTATAGCTGTTGATAGTAGCTTAAGCCAGCAGATCTGGCTGGGAAGGTGGCTCAGTGGTAAAATGCTCACCTAGCATGCATAAAGCCATGGGTTCAATTCCTCAGTACGACATAAACAGAAAAAGCCGGAAATGGTACTGTGGCTCAAGTGGTAGAGTGCTAGCCTTGAGCCAAAGAAGCTCAGGGACAGTGCCCAGTCCCTGAGCTCAAGCCCCAGGACTGGAAAAAAAAAAAAAAAGGCTACAGGTCTGTCTTCCCTCTATGCCACTTCTCAACAGGAAGAGAGAGCTTAGTTTGTCTTCTAATGTATTTAAGTAACATCATTTACCTTTACTAAAGACCTGTTGCAGTATTGTTCCTTTGTTGTCACAAGCTAGAGATGTTATGGGACTTCCGTGAGCAATGGTCCAGGATGATAGTAACATTCTAGAATACACAGACAGCCCACAGACAACCAGGACCAATTCACCCAAAGTGCCAATGGTACTGAGCTCCTTGAGAGAAAAGATCCTTTGTGTGTAAGTCCTGTGGATTGAACTCAGTGCCTGGGCACTGTTCCTGACCTTCTTTGCTCAAAGATAATTCTCAACACTCAAGCCACAACCCCACTTCTGGCTTTTTTGTTCTTGGTAGTTCATTGACAATAAAAGTCTCACAGACTTTCCTGCCTGGACTAGTTTCAAATCAGGATCCTCACATCTCAGCCTCCTGAGTAGTTTAGGATTACAAGAGTAAGCCACCAATGCCTGGCTTGCTTCATAGTTCTATGGTTGGTGGACTTGATGTTGCACTCTAGGTGTTTAATAACCGTTTGTGGAATGCATAAAGATCAGATCTGTCCACCTGATGTTCATAGGTGTATACAATTTCAACCGTTCACGGGTGTATACAACTTCAACCGTTCACCAGCATTTCATAACACTATGGACTTTTCAGTGCTCCTGAGGATCGAACCCAGGCCCTTGGGGTTGCTAGATCATCACTCTACCCCTGAGCTACCAACTCAACCCAGAGACTACATACATTCTACCATATTATTCTTTTTCGTTGGTGGTGGTAATGGTCATGGGGCTTGAACCAAGGGCCTGGGTACTGTTCCTTGCTCAAGGCTAATGCTCTCCCACTGTGAGCCACAGCTCTATTTTTAGTTTTCTGGTGGTTCATTGGCGATAAGAATCTGGTAGACTTTCCTGCCAAGGCTGGCTTCGAACCATGATCCTCAGATGGTTCTACCATTTTATTCTGAACCTTAGAGATCAGTTTCTTCCTGAATAATATTTCTATCTGGGCACTGGTGGCTTACATCTGTAATCCTAGTTAATCAGGAGGCTGAGATCTGAGGATTGTGGTTCAAAGGGAAGTCTGTGAGACTCTAATCTCCAGTAAACTACCAGGAAACCAGAAGTGGCGCTGTGGCTCAAGTGGTAGAGCGCTCGCCTTGAGCTGAAGAGCTGAGGGACAGTGCCCCAGGCCCAGAGTTCAAGCCCCACAACTGACAAAATATTAATAATAAATAGAATACCTACATCACCCCAGTCCTCCATACAGGAGTAGCCATTCACATTTGGTAAGCATGCATTCTGATATCAGGTGTCATTTCCATGGAGTTGCAGAAGCTGCAGGTATCACAGGACTTGTCTGGAAGGGCTCTTACCGTCCTTCTTCTGGAGCCCGGTGTTCCTGGGGGACCTGGCCAACCTCTTCTCCCCTGTCAAAGGAACAGACAGACACAGGAGGCTATGATGAGCTCCAGTCCAATGACAGTGTTGCCTTCCTTTGGAATGTGCCGTCGCTTCTACTGGCCACCAATCACATCTCCTCGTGGGCGGGACATGAGGGATGAGGACCAGGCCCTGGCTTCTCTGGCTCATCACTACTGTCTAATGGAGTATGCAGATGAAGTCCCGCCCCCCTTGGGTGGCCAGCAAGTAGAGCTAGGAGTCACAGATTGGCTATCAGCAGCTGAGATGGCTCCTTGTAGACTTCTTCCCTGGCTCACCTGTGATGGACGCGTTCACACCACTAGTCTCATGAGACTCAGTCTTCTCAGATGCAAAAGTGTGGGATAATTGATGAGCCAAGACAAAGAAGGTAGGGGCAGGGAAGGTGGCTCAGTGGTAGAGCGCATGCCTTGCATGCCTGAGGCCCCGGGTTCGATTCCTCAGCACCACGTAAGCAAATAGAAAAAAAGCCGGAAGTGATGCTGTGGTTCAAGTGGTAGAGCGCTCGCCTTGAGCTGAAGAGCTGAGGGACAGCGCCCAGGCCCAGAGTTCAGGCCCCACGACCAACCAAAAAAGAAAGAAAGTCACTCCAGCCCTCAACGTTGGTAAGGGACAGGGCTGAGACAGGACACAGGCCTGCCGTCTCCTTCAGATCAGAATTGTCCCCTACATTTTCTCATCAAGAGGATCCAGAGACTCACATTACCCAGGTAACTTTTTTTTTTAATCCTAAAAAACAGGCTAATATGAGCCAATTGTAATTTCTGAGAGTACATGTGTTCAATCCCAAGAGACTTGTCTTATGAGACTTACACACTGACCACATCCTGTTCTTTCTGTCATGTGCTAACGACATATGTCTTCTGAGACTATGTATCTTCTGAATATTGGGAAGGTCAATAGCGTGTGTGTGTGTGTCTGTCTGTGTGTGTCTGTGTCTGTCATGGGCTTGAACTCTAGGCCTGGGTGCTGTCCCTCAGCTCTTCAGCTCAAGGCCAGCGCTCTACCACTTGAGCCACAGCGCCACTTCCAGTTTTCTGATGGTTCATTGGAAGTAAAAGTCTCACGGACTTTCCTGCCTGGGCTGGCTTTGAACCATGATCCTCAGATCTCAGCCTCCTAAGTAGCTAGGATAACAGATGTGAGCCACCGGCACCCAGCTTCAATAGCTTTAAAAAAAAAAAAAAGAAAATTAAGGTAGCTGGGTGCTGGTGGCTTATACTTATAATCTCTTAACTCCTCAGGAGGCTGAGATCTGAGGATCACAGTTCAAAGCCAACCAGGTCAGGAAAGTCCATAGGATTTTTGTTTCTAATTAACCACTAAAAACAAAACAAAACAAACAAAAAAACAGAAGTAGAGCTGTGGCTCATGTAGTAAAGAATTAGCCTTGAGCAAAAAAGCTCAAGCACCCAGGCCCTGAGTTCAAGCCTCAGGACTGGCTTTAAACCTCAAACTTTTAAATCTCAGCCTCATGTGTAGCTAGGATTACAGGTGTGAACCCCCAGTATCTGGCTTCATTTCAGATTTTTTTTTTTGCATCCGGTCATGGGGCCTGAACTCTGGGCCTGGGCGCTGTCCCTCAGCTCTTCAGCTCAAGGCTAGCGCTCTACCACTTGAGCCACAGCACCACTTCCAGCTTTTTTTCTTTTTGCTTATGAGGTGCTGGGGAATCGAACCCAGAGCCTCATGCATACAAGGCAAGCGCTGTACCACTGAGCCATCTTCCCAGCCCCCATTTCAGACTTTTTATCAGGCATTTCCAAGTCTATGATTGAGAACTTAAGCCTTCCTGTCATTCCTGACAAGTTGATTTTCAACGCCCACATCATTAATTACCTGTCTGCCACGTTCTCCTGGCAAGCCCTTAGATCCTTGTATGTTACTGTCAAATCCAGAAATCCCCTAAAAAATAGCAAATAGAAGATTAATAGATTTGGAGTTTGACAAGAGAAAGAAAGCAGAAATGGGTTGAAATTACAGAAGTGAGCCTCTAAAAGTCTCAAGTAGTTGCCTTTTTGCTGTTGTTGCTGGTTATGGGGCTTGAACTCTGGGCCTGGGCACTGTCCCTGAGCTTCTTCAGCTCAAGGCTAGCGCTCTACCGCTTGACCACAGCGCCACTTCCGGCGTTTTCTATGTATGTGGTGCTGAGGAATCGAACCCAGGGCTTCGTGCATGGTAGGTGAGCACTCTACCACTGAGCCACCGTCCTAGCCCACAGATACTGCTTTTTTCAACTCTAAAGTTCGGACTGGGATTTCTCCTGTAATACTTCCAAGATAGAGGCATCTGTCTGTCTGTCTCTCAGAGGGCTAGTCGGATCAACACCCTCCCTCACCGCCCCCCCCCCCAGCCACGTGCCTACCGGGTCTCCTCGAAGGCCCTTTGCTCCACGATCACCAGGAGCCCCTTGTGTTCCTGGGCTTCCCTGACAACATGAGCACAAATCAGAATAAAAACAGCATGAGAAATTTTAATAAAATTCAGATTTAAAAAAAAAACCCTAAACTTTTTTGACTTATGTCTTTTTTGGGGGGGGGGGGGGGGGAAGGTCGGTCGTGGGACTTGAACTCTGGGCCTGGGCGCTGTCCCTCAGCTCAAGGCGGGCGCTCTACCACTTGAACCACAGCGCCCCTTCTGGAGATAAGAGTCTCACAGACATTCCTGCCCCGGCTGGCTTTGAACTGTGATCCTCAGAGCTCAGCTTCCTGAGTTGAGCTAGGATGACAGGCGTGAGCCACCAGCGCCTGGCTCGACTTATGTCTTTATCAAGACAGCAAGAGTCCTTTCCAAGTAGCCCCCGGCCGGCTTCAGATGTGGAATGCTCCATCTCTGCTTCCTGAGTGCAGGGATTACAGGTGTATGTCACCATGTCTGTTGCCCAAGGTCTGGGCTTCAACTAGAAAGCAGGTTGTAGGGCCAGGTATTCCCTTTTTAAAGATGGCTTTAGAGGTGGCTTCTAGATTGGAGCTACCTCTACCCCGTCACCAATGCCCCCCCTCCTCCTGTGCTCAGTGGGGCAGATGCTTTGGTGGCCCCCAAACTTCATTTCCCAGGGGGTGGAGGTGGTTTCCCACTGGATCCCTTCCCCTGATCGGCTCTATGTTTTGATGGGGGTCTGTGGGAAGAGACAGGCGCGCTGCTTTGGGAAGGTTCCAGTCTAAGCCTCAGGCTCTGTTTCTCTATGTGTTTTATGGAACTCAGCTGTGGCCAGGAGAATGACAAACCTGTGAACACAACTCCCAGCCAACCTCCAGAACTGGGCCCAGGTCAGCACAGAACTGCCAACGCCTCAGCCACTAAAGACATCATGTTGTTTTGTGTGCGTGTGTGCGTGCGTGTGTGTGTGTGTGTGCGTGTTGTGGCATTGTCCCTGAGCCTATTTTGCTCAAGGTTAGCGCTCTACCACTTGAGCCACAGCGCCACTTCTGCCTTTTTCTGTGTTATGTAGTACTGAGGAATCGAACCCAGGGCTTCATGCATGCGAGGCAAGCACTCTACCACTGAGCCACCTTCCCAGTCCCTAGGGTATTTCTTTTACCGTATAATACCTTTCAAGTAGAGTTTTGGATTTTTCCCTCTATTGAGACCCTACCTGGGACCCCTCATCGCCCTTTTCCCCTTTTCTTCCAGGAAGACCACTGTCACCCTAAAAGAGAGAGAGAAGGAAAAGCTCAAATTCTCATTATTCTGGGTGGGAAATAGCTCAGAAGGATTTGGGGGTGGGGGGAGGAATAGAAGGGAAGATTCTACCTGCTCTCCATTTAAGCCATCAATCCCACTTTCCCCAGCTTCTCCCTGAAAAGAATACAATGTGAAATCAATAAAATTAAAGAAAAAAGAAAGAATACAATGGGTCACATCTGTGTGGAAAGAAGTCAGATATCCAACAAAACCAGGCACTGACACACACACACACACACACACTCACACACACACACTCACACACACACACACAATAAAACAAACCAGCCTCTCTGTTCGGCAGTGCCGGACCAGTCTCAAAGATGGATTTCAGAAGAACTGTCAACAAGCAAGCCATAAACAGAGTCTATAATCAAAGGCAGAAATGAGTCTCTGGGGAAAGGAATGGCAGCAGCGATGCTGGCGATCCAATCCGGCCATTGCCAACCGTCTCCCGCGTCAAACGGCTTCTGGAGACCAGAGGGGCAGATAACTCGAGGGGGCATGGCACCATACCTGCTGGCCATCCAGTCCTCTGGACCCCTGCCAACAGAACACAGGACAGCGGTGGTTAGGAGGTGGAGCCGGCTGCTGGAGAAGACATCTCGCTCCGGGGTCTGTCTGTGCAGGAGCTTACCTTCGGACCCTTGTTGCCATGGCAACCCTTGGTGCCAGGCTCTCCTGCTGGTCCAGGGTCTCCTCGCTCTCCCTGAGAAACAACACAGGTCTAGATGAGCTGGATGATGGCAACCCGGGACCTGCGTGGACGCTCAGTACATTTGTTTTATTAACCGAAAAAGAAGAAGGAAGAAAGGAGGGAGGAAGGGAAGAAAGAAAGGGGGAAGGGAGGATTAAGGAAAGAAGGGAGGGAAGGAAGGAAGGAAAGAAAGAAGGAAGGAAGAAGGGAGGGAAGGAGGAAGGAAGAAAAGAAGGAAGGAAGGAGGAGGGAAGAAAGGGAAGGAGGGGAGAGGAGGGGAGGAAGGAAGGGAAGGAAGGAGGAAGGGAGAGAGGAAGGGAGGGAGGGAAGAAGAAAGGAAGGAAGGAAGAGAGGGAGGGAGGAAGGAAGGAAAGAAGGAAGGAAAGAAGGAAGGAAGGGAGGGAGGGAGGGAGGGAGGGATAAAGGAAAGAAGGAAGGAAGGAAGGAAAGGAGGGAGGGAAGAAGGGAGGGAGGGAGGGAAGGAAGAAGGAAGAGAGGCAGGGAGGGAGGAAGGAAGGAAAGAAGGAAGGGAGGGAGAGAGGGAAGGGAGGAAGGAGGGAGTGAGGGAAGTAGGAAAGAAGGAAGAGAGGCAGAGAGGGAGGAAGGAAAGAAGGAAGGGAGGGAGGGAAGAAGGAAGAATAGAAAGGAATAGGAGAGGGAGGAGGAGGAAGAGGAGGAAGTGGTGGAGGAGGTGTAGATGGAGGAAATGGAGGAGGAGGAGGAGAAAGAAGAAGAGGAGATGGAGGAGGAGGAGGA